TCCACACGCAACGATTTTGTCGTCGGTACAGGAAATGCCTTAACCAATCACTGTCCGAGGAAGAATTCCCGCCCTATGTAGCGTCACACTATCAACAAAAAACTGTGAAAACTGTGTGGGGAGTGAATTTAGGCGACAATAATAAAAATGGATGAAGATTTCCCGTTAATTGCTACTGTAGCAACATCTGCGATTTTGATCTTCGCTGCTGCTGCTGCAGAAGAAGAAAAAAGAAAGCGTATTTGGACGAGAAATTGGGTGAAATTGGGTGAAACGCAGAGAAATTCATGGAGCCCATAATACCCTGTTCCAAGAGCTGCGTTTTGAAGACAGGGTGGAATTTGGAAAGTATTTGCGAATGATGCCGTGCGATTTTGATTATTTATTAAACTTAGTGAGCAGCAAAATTAAAAAAAAAACAGGATACGATTATGCGTTGTGCAATTTCACCATCTGAGAGGCTGCATGTTACTTTACGCTTTCTAGCTGGTGGTAAGTTAATTTTTATTTTATTGAAAAAAAATCAATTAATTTTTATAAAATTAATAAATCAAATTCACAAAAATTGAAATACAAATTCAAACAATAATTTTAACCACAATTTTTTAAATTTTGAGAAATTTATAATGAATAAATATCATAATTATATCACTACATCATTTTTAATAAATTTATTTTTTAAGTTTTTTATTATGTTACAGGGTGTTCCTATTCAAATTTACAGTATTTGTTTAGAATACCTAAACAAACATTGTCAAGAGTGATACCAGAAGTATTGGATGCTTTATGGGAATGCATGCAAGATTACATAAAGGTGAGTTAAAACTTAATATATCAATGTTACATATGAGGTCTTATAATTCACAACAACATCATGACCTTTTAATTTTTAAAAAAAAAAAAAAAATGTTCATTTTTACAGGATCAGGATACTAATGTTAAGTTGAATTTTTCTCGAATTTGTAATATTGAATTAACTTCAGAGCTTGTTTTCCTTGAAATGTGATTCATTTAAAAAGAGTATTACAGGAGTGCAATGTATAATTTTCTATTTAGAATTAAGAGGCCCACCAGTGGTTGAGTGGTTAAGACAACTGAATACTGGTAGTTCGACCTGGCTTGGGTTCCGTCCCAGGCGAACAGGTTGGCTGCATGGTTGGTTTTTGTGGTTACCCCATGTGTAACATAAATATGAGCTAGTTTCCCTTAGAAAGGCCTCTACGAAGGTATCCCTCCTCTTACACAGATAGTCCTCGAGGCTTTGCGATATTTAAATTTAAGTAACCTATTTACAATTAAAGTCATAAAATAATAGTTGCATTGGGGTATCTGGATAACGGATAACTTTGAGTTTTTTCTTTGTAAGTACTAGCAGAGAGAGATTTAGTATAGCAATTGGAATTTCATTACTCATGTAACATTCTCTTGAAAATGTTATGCAAACACCGTACTGATGAAATGTCTCTCCAAGTTATATTTTACACTAACCATTATACTTCAGTTGCATAAGCATGCACTTTTTACCATGTAATAAATCAGGGCTTTTTAAACTTTTTTGATTGACACTTTTGATTTTATGGTGGTTAGAGATGAAAATGTCTCTCACTAATATGTTGCAGAAAAAGGTAAAAGTTTATGGCAGTTTCAGAAATTGTTGGAAATCTTTTGCAATTGCTAGCCAAAAAATCTTCTGAAGACTTCGTATTAAAGATAAAGTTTCAATCCCGAATTATTTGATAAATCAGCAAGTTCTTCTTGTGATTTTAATGGCAAATGAGTAATATTTTCCACATTAATTCTAAATAGTTTCACAATCCATATTAGTTCTTTGACACTAAAATTTGAAGGGAAATATTTCTTAAAGTTTTTCTCAAGACATCATGTTCATTTTTTTGTCATTTATCTATTTCATCATTTTCATTTAAAAATTCAGTTGTTGCGACAAACATTTCTAACAAACCCTTTTCCATCATAGTTTTCCATATGGTCATTTTCTTAATAAAGCATCAATTTTTAATTTGAATATGACTATGTTGCAACCTTTTTCTTGAAACGACAAATTTAGATCATTTAGTTTTTCAAATATGTCACTCAAATAACGCAGCTTTTGTAGCCATAACTTATTATGAATTAAATTCGCAAAATCAGATTTTTGTTCAGTTAGAAAGAGAACTTTATGTATTGCCTTATCTTTATCTATTTTCAGATACATTGTGTAAAAATATTTGGTAATTGTAAAATTATTGGAATAAGTTAAAGGATTATCAAAAACTGCTAAAATGTTTTGGCGACCTCCATGGGGGTCGCGACCAACAGTTTAAGAAAATAATTTTAAGTTATAAATGAAATTGTTTTTCCCACTCAACATTAAAATATCTCGTCAGCTTCTTAAAATTTTAAAATTGTTTTGCAGGCACCAGTTTGTTGGTCCATGCTCTAGATTATAATTTGACTCAAATTCTAGAATGAACCATTTTCAATGGGAATATCTGTCGTAATGTTGTTTATGCTTTTCAGTATATTTAAATAAAATTTTCATTTATAAGAAGAGATATGATTATTTGATTTTGGAAAAATCATAATAAACATAATTGTTTTATAATTAGGGAGGCATCTAGCAATAGAATGTAGGAACTGCAGAGATTGCATTGGACAGCAAATTGACAACCTAGTATCAACCCTGTATAAAACACATAATGAATCTGCTAAATTGACCACCTATGGGTTCATCCAAAATTCTTCAATAGACACTTTTAGTTTTGAGTTTTCTTCAAATTAAGAAGCATATATATTCAGTTATAAAATGTTTAAACATGTTGTTTAAATGAAAATTCTGTTTCTGTGTACAAACAAGCATAAGCCCTTTTTGTTTATTGTATTATTGTTTGTACAACAACAGCTTATTTTTTAATCATTTATTTTCCAAAAATTATCAGTTTTTCTGTCTGTATGGGTATTGTGATCAAAAACATTCATTTACCCACAGTCACTTAGCTTTAATTCCATTTATTGTATCTGACACATTCATTACTTTAAAAACTTTAAATAGAATCTATGGTGTAGCTTAATCAAAAACAAGAGAGAAAAAATGGGAAAAAATTAGATAAAAAGTGAAACATAGGAACACAACCAAAATATTTAAGCACATTTTTTTATCTACTTCTCTGATGTGAATTTTATTATAACAAATGAGTAGCTAATATTCATTGATAAAATATTTGATTTTACTATTTGCCAATATTCAAATAGCATTTTCTGCATTTATATTTTGTATTCGCATCCTTTTTTCAGTTTCATAATTAATACTTATTTTCTCATTTCGTAGACACCAAACACTGCTCAGGAGTGGCAAGCCATAGAAGAAGCTTTTGCTGAAAAGTGGAACCTGCCACACTGTGTTGGTGCCATCGATGGAAAACACGTTATGATAAAAGCACCAGCAGGGGGTGGCAGCACTTTTTACAATTATAAAAGTTTCAACAGCATTGTGCTGATGGCATCAGTTGATGCAGATTATAAATTTACATTTATTGATGTTGGATGTAATGGACGAATATCAGACGGAGGAGTTTTTGCCCAAACAAGTTTATTTTCGATGCTAGACAATAACTTGCTTGATCTGCCCAGCCCAACACCTTTGATTCCAGGTAGTGAGCCTGTGAATTATTTTATGGTTGCAGATGAGGCGTTTCCTTTGAAATGTTATCTGATGAGGCCATATCCTGGTAAAAATATCTCTCCTCAGCAAAGGATTTTCAATTATCGACTGTCCAGGGCAAGGCGTGTTGTTGAAAATGCATTCGGGATATTATCAAATAGATTTCGTATCTTGATGCAACCAATACAGCTGCCTCCTGCGACAGTTGATAAAATTGTTTCTGTATGTTGCTGTTTGCATAACTTTCTACGAGAAAGACCGTCCAGGCAATTGTATACACCAAGAGAACTAATCGATCATGAAGATGAGGACTTTAATTTTATACCTGGATCATGGCGAAATGAGGAATCGCTAAGTAAGATGAAATCCCTGTGTAAACAAAATGGTTATAACACAGGGTCTGCTGAAGCAAGGCTGATGCGAGAAAAAAATTTGTGATTATGTAAATAATGAAGGAAAAGTTGCATGGCAAGATAAATTTATAAAATATTATTAATTTCTCAATATATGTTATTCAATTTATGTTCCCTGATTTCTCAATATGTGTTTAAATAAAAGATAAAGAAATAAAGATTATTTATAAGTATTTTTATTTTATGTTACAAAATAATGTGGTAAGTAATAAATATATCTAAGTTTCTTATTTATTCTGTGTTGTTCATGGAATCTAATACATTTTGTTCTGTCTGTGCATCTGTGAGAATTTGGTATATTTTATATTTTGTGTCTGTGAGGAGTTGAGGGTCACGGATTAGACTTAGTTCGGAACCAACAAAGGAACCGAACTGTGTAAATGTATTTGGAGTAGTGTTTTTTGATTTTAATATTGTAGAAATTTCTTCCAAGTGTTGTTGTGGCTGCTGTGTAAATGTGATCGTGTTTCTGTTTTTTGTTTGAAGTTGTAGTGTTTGATGTGTGTCTTTTTAGCTGTGGTAGTGTTTGTGTATGACATAGTTCTCTCTGTGTCTCTTCAGTGTCTTCAAAATCGTTCATGTCAAACATCTCCTCAGAATGACTGGTAACTTCTGCACTTCTTTCTTGTGTACTAGTATCATTAAAATCCTGAAAATTAAAATAACACTTTAATTTTTACTATTACAGCTATCATTCATTCATATATAACAAATCATAATTAACAAGCTATGGGAAAACATGCAGAAATAAATATTTTATAAGGATAATGAATATATTTCCTAAGCTTGATTTTTCAAGAGATATCAAAGTTGAATAGTCAAATATCTTGAATAAGAATACGAAAAAAACTCGTAATTCTGCTTGTCTAAGTTGTAGCGTATTTGGTATCAATAAAAACATGCAATACATATATTTAAAAGAAAATATATAAGAAGTTAATGCTTATGTTTAAGTATGTTAAAAGTAACAAAATATTGACTAACTTATGTCTGATTTAGCTGTGAATATAAGTTTATCATTGAAAATGGTATATATATATATATATAATTTACAAATATATATATATATATAAACTGAGAAGAAAGCAAAGCTAATAATTACTACAGTAAAAAGAAATAATTTGAGTGTTTTTAAAAGAACAGTATCTGTGCATGTACATCCCATATTTTTATAACTTTTCAATGTGAAGCGGAGTTGGACTTCATTTTGATAGTAATAATTACTTAAAATGCAATAAGAATTCATGTTTCTCTATTAATATTTTAAAATTAGAGGTAGTCACATATTATCTCAACCACCTTAATAAAAATTGCCATACTCTGCACATAAAAATTTCACAGGCAACCTTGTTCATAAAAATCCTTCAGTCAAGCAATGTTTCAATTGTTTATTTTTGTTGTATTTGGAATTCTAATGATTTTGACAGACATCGTAATTTTTTTTTTGGGGAGTTGGGAACCTTTAACTTACTTTTAAAATATCACTTGTGGAATCTGCCAGCAATGGAAGAAACTGCAGTAAAAATTCTGCAGAATATAGTATTTTGTCACAAAACCGTTAACGCAAACAGCGATGAGATGTGTTTGGTAAACAGTTGATGTGCAGTACAAGTTTATGCAATTTATTGGTTTTTTAAGTGAAAACAGATCACTGTGTACATGGAGAAAAGAATAACGCTAAAAGTTAGAGAAGTATTTTGCAAATTCATAAGTGTTTTATTTTTTAGTACTTAACATATTAGCGTAATCACCTCAAGTTTGGCAAATTTTTATAAATGAAAAAGAATGAGGGTAATGTTGCTTGACTGAAGGAATGTTTATGAGCATGGTTGCCTAAAGTATTGTTATGCTCATGGTCGACAGATTTTAGCACATTCTGGAAATTTAAAAGAGCTTGTACTAAAGTGCTTGTGATAACATGTAAGAACCTATTTTTTAATGTATCATATAATTTTTACTTAATAATTAAAATTCATGTTTAGATTTTTCGGCTTTTTTCGGTAGGTCGATAATACTTTGCTGACTTACTATCAGATATTTGGGAATGGTTTTTTTTAAAAAAAAAAGTCATAAAAACCACTAACTTGTACCAGTAAGTAATTTTTACCTTTACATTTATAAAGACCACCAAATATGTGACAAGGTGGTTGTGTTAATACATGAGTACCAAAATAGACTTACGAAGAGAAATTTAAGTACCTTAACTCTCATTTCAAAATAAATTACATATGCTTTTCTGGATGTTAGACTAATTGATTAAGACAACGCAATTCAAGGACTATCTGCCTATAGAGAGGGATGCTTCATAGAAGAATTTTTAGGGAAAAATGGCTCGTATCCATGTTCTGCATAGGAAAAAAACAAAAACCAACCTTACAGTCAGCTTATTTGCTGGCATTCGAACACTGGTCAAATTACCAGTTATTTAGCAGTTTTACTGCTCAGCTATTTTGGAAATTATCAATAGAATATCATTCATTGGAAAAAAGATTAGGTCTTCATATAAATTCAAAATATAAACTTCTACTAACTCTGACACTTCTGATTTTAGAAATTAAGCCCTGGTCCTATCCACTTTTACCTATACTTTAATGGGTATTGCACCTATACTTTAATGGGAAATGGGATTATTTTTAAGTAAATGAGCTTAAGAATAGTCTTTAAATATAAAGATTTCATTTAAGAAATTAAATAGCACACATAGTTGTAAAAGGATAAATAAAATAATACTTTTGTACTGAAGTTATATAGAAATTGCTGTGAGTGTGAACTTTTGCAGATGACCCATCTGCTGCATGAGCTTGAAGATTTGGCTAATATAATTTACACAGCTAAGTATGTATAACAATATTATTTTATTTATCACAAAAACTGTTAAAGTTTTGCCTATATTAAAAACAATTCTATAAATTTTCAAATAGTAAAGGGAAATTATTTACTTTATAAGCCAAATTATATAAATTTAAAAAGTAATCACTTACCAAAGAAGTCACAGTATTCCTTAAGGACACGACATCACTTAAAAATTGTAACGATGTGTAAAACTGCCATGCCGATTTGTACTGCATGGCAGTGCTTGCACCAGATGTATAATTTTTTTTTCTCTTTATGTTTCTCCTTTGTAAATTGAGTACGCAGGTTACTCCATTTTTTTTTTTAAATTTCATTTTCTGGAACGCATATTTGTGTGCTTAAGTCCTGAAATGTTAAAATAACCATGCTTCAGAAAAAGTAAATAACTACTGTGCTTTAAATGATAACCTTTACTATTAAATAAATAGACAATAATGTTATGAAAACCGCAACAATATGAGTAAAAAGTACTAATACAGAATAAAGATTACTATAGTAGAAAGGAATAGTGTAATTTCAATACAAAAATTTCAAATAAGAAATATAAATATGCAAAATCTTAAAATAGCATATCATACTGAATATTAAAAAATACTATCGGTATAGTTTAATAACTAATACAGTTCTGAAAACTGTAATCATATTGCTATATCAGTTAATCAGCTAATAAAATTGAGCAATATTGTATTAAATTGAGCTGTAATTTGTTTAACCAACATAAAATAATTTTCATCACGAATAAAAAAATATTTGATGATAAAGTAACGGGAAGATAACTTACCAAAATAAGGGAATCCTTTAACTCTTTATTTTTATAATTTATATGTTTCCAAAATGAGAGAGAAAAGCACGTGATCTCTGGAAGCAATCTAATTGGCTAGAGTCGCCGATTTTATCGTCGGCTAGTGACGTCCACGAGTATAAGCCGTGCTGAAACGAACTGCTTGACGTCCGTAAGACCTCACAAATTTGTGGCTTTATAAGTTGATTTTTATCATTTGTTTAAGAATGATTATGTTTACTTTTGAATTGAGCTCATCCTGTATAATTACAAACATAATAAAATTCTCAGCAAAATTTGATTATTTATTTTAATTGGAAACTAATTTTATATGAAATAACTGTCCTAAGGGTTTTTTAAAAGCATAACACTTATTTCATTACATAATATGTAGAATATCAAATGCAGAGTAAATTTGATTCTTGACAGAGTACTGTGTTCTTAAATTTAAATATCAATATTTTTTTCCAAATCATAAAATATCATTTTATCATGATGAAACTTAAATGCACATGTTTAGCTAATATAGCTTCTGTTCACTTTTATGTATGTTATTATCATGCAATCAGTTTGTTTAAAATTTGTTATGCAATATAAATCTTTCTGAGAATGATAGAAAAGTTTCTAAAGTAATGTATGTAAGATTCATATTAAGGTAATTAAATTGCGAAACTGCAAAATGAAATTTTAAAAATGTACAGTTATTGAAGAAGCAGTAGTAAAAAAAATATTTTCAGAACAGAGGTAATGCTTATAGTTAAATAGGTATGATGTAAATATTTGCAAGAAATTTCAGTTTCTAAAAGTTTTTTAAGTATTTCGTATATTTTTTAAATATTTTCAAAAAAAATTGTGTATAACTGTATTTAAAAAACTTTTTTCCTGTCTTATTTGGAATTTTAATATTGATAATCTTCAGAGCTATAATAAACATTATCTCAATTTAACTACAGATTCTTGTCGAAAAATTATGTAGCATTAAGAGAAAAACATTAACTGTAATACAGATTAACATACAATATGTAAGTAAGAAATAATTTTAAGACTAGACTATTTAGTAATTTATTACATTCAGAAAAGTTTTCTGACTGATATAAGGCATTTAAATGTTAGTCTAAATATTAAGTAGTCTCTTGCATTCGTTTGATGTTTTATAATCCTGCTACATTAATATGATAGGTATAAAAAATATGCAATAATTATAGAATGAGAGATAACAAGTGTTCCCACTGGCAAACATTTTGTTAAAGTAGTGGGTGAAACAAAAAAATTTGATGCGGTGATGAGAATCAACGAGACACAAAGACAGTGCAGAAAAATCAAAGTAAAAATTTTAGCTACTTGAATTTTAAAACCAATTTTTCTTCAAAGAAATGATTTGCTTTTAAAAGCACCACACCATTCTCAAATAATTTTGTTTTGAAAATAAATACTAACAAAAGAAAATGAAAATATTTCATATTCGTATAAGCTTTGTAAAACATTATATTGCCGCTTGTAATTTTGTTTTAGACTGATTTTATAGTATGAGATACCAATTTCATAGAATAGGTTTAGAAAAACGGGCGTTTAGCAAGGAAGCTAAACTGCGCGAAGACCGGTCCCCTAGCAGTGACGTAGTAACTCAGCGCGCAGGCCTTATCTATCTCGATGGTGACGCTAGTGAGCGGTGAACTCTAGCTCTGAAATCGTCGCAGAGAACATGACAGATTTTTAGCGCATGCGCACATCCTGAAAATTGTTCCTCTGCGAGAAAGTCTGCCGATAAAATCGGTACGTGTAGACGGGCCTTTAGAGAGATATATGTTGCAATTAGACATTTTTGATTAACAAAGCGTTTTCTCAAAGGTGTCTTCTAACGTTTAAGCATTTAATTTTAGTTGAATAAAATATATATTGTGATTTGAAAAGGAAGAGTTTCCAAAATAAAATGAAAATCTCCGAAATTAAAATTAAATTTTCATCTTATACGCACGCGCACATATATACAAAAAGTGATTAAAAAATATTTGAAAATTTTTTTAAAGGCTGATAGAGGCGACCGAAATTATCAGATTTTGTGGTGGAATCATTCAGTTGAAACAGCGTTTTGAGGAGATGCAGGTGATTAGTAAAAGCGTTTTTTTGCTGGCGAAAATCGTCATTTTCCTCACGGTTTTGGGCGGTATGTATCCCTTCAGAAACACGAAATTCGGCAATGTACATTTTATCTATGGAATCGTGGCTAAAAAGGAGCAGCTACTGAAAGAAGGAAGAGAGAAAGATTCCCGAGTACTTCCTTTGAGCAGTTGATCCATTTTCGTCCGCAGTCTCATAGGTAAAACGACAAGCTCCACTTCCGAGCAACTATGGATACCTCTAAGAAACTACACAAGGAGTTACACCAGCCGCACTTTTACCTGCTGCTCAACAGCCTTCTGTATCATCTCAATGCAACATTTCGGCGAACATATTCCATTAGAAAATCTGCTTATTTCAGTCCTTTCTACCGGCTTTTAAATTTTTGTCCGATTATTTTTTTTATCACCGTGTATATATGTATGAAAGTATCGTGAATGATCAACGTCAATTCTTGCCTGACATCAATGTGTTCTTGATTGATGCTGACATCAATGTACAGCCATAATTCTTGGTGTGATGGTGGGGTGCTATTTCTTATGACAGCTGGTCATCTTGAGTCATCCTCAGTACATCTTTAACAAGCTCAACGATATGCTGATACCATCCTGCGGCCGGTTGCATTACCCTTCACGGCACGTCATCCTGGGGCCATTTTCCAACAAAAAAAATGCCAGGCCACATACCGCTCGCATATCTATGGACTGTATCTGTGCGGTTGATACTCTTCCTTGGCTAGCAAGGTCATCAGACCTTTCATCAATCGAGCATGTCTGGGACATGGTAGGCCACCAGATTCGGGCACCACAAAATATTGCAGATCTGGAACGACAGCTGATGAATACCTGTCAGAATGTGCCGAAGGATGACATTAGGAACCTCTACCACTCCTTGCCTCCACGAATTCAAGTATGCATTGCCGTCAGGGGCGGTTCGACCACTACTAATTTGAACACTTAGTGGGTGATTGTGAGCAGTGAACGGGTACTATGACCTTGATTTTTTAATCATTTTATTATCTTTGCATGAGCTATACACATATTCAATTTCATCAACAACGACTTCCTTCCTGGTACTTCGATGTTTTTGCAAATGACTGTATTTAGTTTCATTTCTTACTTACTGTTAACTTCAAAATGTGGGTAGAAAATAATAGATAAATGGGTTTGGATATTCCAGACGGATTGCTTTTGAGAAAGTGTGTGGAAAGAAAATTCATTTAGTCTAGAGTGTTAAAAGCAAAATTATCTGCATAAAAATGACCTACAAAAAATGTACTTTTACCGTTTATAACCCAGTAAAATTCTTGCATCAGTTATTTTGTCCTGATATATGCCATAGATCCAAAAATGTTCAGCTGTATTGCATGTTTTACTTTTATTCATCCTTACTAAACGTGCAAAAAAGAATATGCTTTTGACTCGAGGAACTTAGAGCTGACTCTCTTGACTAGGGTATCATTAGGTGGATTTTAGAGAAGTGAAGGAAAAGTGCACGATGTTACAGAGCACACGGTGCTTTATGTTTGCTGGAGTCTTATTTCTCATGAGCAACGCATTTTCTTTACAATCGACAAAATTAATTTGAAAGCGTAAAATGCAATAAAATAAGCACTTGCATAATAAAATAAGCACTTGCACTTGCAAGAATTTTGAGAATTAAAATATGCTAATTAATAACAATTAGTGCTATAAATATTCATTGTATAATATAAGTTAATATCTAGGTTCCAACGGAGCTTTATTCTATTTTTGAGTCAAAGAAATTGAAAATATCATCCCATAATCATGCCACTTTGAATTCATCATTTTTGTGATATTATTTATCATTCGAATCTTTGCAAAGAAAAAGTACTTCAAGTTGAACTGTGTTTCCTAACTGTCGTCTGGTTATTTTTCCAACCTATAAGCCAAATTTTTATTCGGAATGATGGTAACTTTGGTTCGCAGTTTCGTAAGAAATCCGTCAACGGTACCAGGAATTTCAATAAATATATATTTTTTCTTAAAATGCTATAATTTTTGTTGAATAAGAATTATTTCAATTTCTTTGCATGACCCTCGTATCTGCTTAAGCATTTAAATATGAAGTCAGATTTTAAAAGTAGAGATCTTCAGAAGATATTTGAATAACTACCTGTTACCATGAAGCATAATGTGTAATTTGTGTTAATGATGAATTTCTTATCCTATATAAATTGACTGTCTTAGAATTCATCTTATTTCTTCAGGCTTTAGTTTTGAGCATTGACCAAGAGAAGATTAAAAAAAAAAAGAGAACGCCGCATCAGACAGTGTTTTAAAGCATACTTTTAATGTCTATATTATATTTTGTTATGTGATAATTAATAACCCCCCCTTTTTTTCCCTGCTTATGTGCAGCTTCCAAATGGAATGTTCTATATCTTAAGGATGTGCAATCAAGAAGTGAATAGAGGAAGTTCTACAGGTTAATTAATTATTTTTTGTAGTTGCAATATTTCATATGTATGCTGTTCTTAAGTTACTGTTATTGGAATCTATGTATGACTAATTAAGATTTAGTACTTCTTTTTAAAATGGCCATCACATAAACTGTTAGCAATTCATAAAAGTTATGTTTTCAAATTTAACAATGAAGTATGCCTATTCTGATGACAAACAGAAATGGCCCCTTTAGTAGGTTAGGTTAACTGTCTTAAAAAAAGGATATTTGTGTAGAAAGAGAAACTGGTTCATATTTATGTTACACATAGATAAAACTATGGAAGTATTTATGATTAAGCCTGTTTACTTAAATTTGAATTTGGGTTAAACTACCAATGCTTGGCAGTCTCACTTGCTATGTCACAGATGAGCCACCTACGCTAGTAAGGAAATTCCACCACATTATTTAAAGCTATATATGTGTTTC